AAATGACTGTTTCTACATTCTCCAAAGAAAAAGTTTCTGAGCTGCTGCAAACACACATCAGTTTAACTCTGGAAGTTGAATACACACATTGACAACAATTCTGCTAGATAACACCGTTTCGGTTTTAAAGCAAGGTATTTCTCTTTACAGCCTGTTCTCCCATCCACACTGGAATGTCCAAACGCAGCTTTTAGAAGAAACGTGTTTCTACCTCGCTGAATCTAAACATAGATGTAACTTCCTTAAAGAAACCAAAACAGAGAAGATCAGTTTGTAGGAAGCGGTTCTTCTGTGTTTTAAACGCATTCTTACTGCTAACTCTTATACGCGTCTCTAGAACTGGAAATGACTGTTTCTACATACTCCAAAGAAAGGGTTTCTGAACTGTTACAAACACACATCAGTTTAACTCTGGAAGTTGAATACACACATTGACAACCATTCTGCTAGATAGCTCCGTTTTGTTTTTAGAGCAAGGTATTTCTCTTTACAGCTGTTTTCCCATACACGCTGGAATGTCCAAACGCATCTTTTAGAATAAACGTGTTTGTACCTCGCTGAATCTAAACATAGATGCAACTTCCTAAAAGGATCCAAGACAAAGCAGACCGGTTTGTAAGAAGCCAGTCTTCTGTGTTTTAAAGGCATTCTTACTGCTATCTCTTATACGCCATTATAAGGCTATAATTGACGTTTCTATATTCTCCAAAGAAAGGGTTTCTGAACTGCTGCAAACACACATCAGTTTAACTCTTTAGGTTGAATATAAACATTGACAACCATTCTGCTGGATATCTCCTTTGTTGTTTTAGAGCCAGATATTTCACATTACAGCCTGAACTCCCTTTCACTCTGGAATGTCCAAACGCAGCTTTTAGAAGAAACGTGTTTCTACCTCGCTGAAACTAAACATAGATGCAAGTTCGTAAAAGGAACCAACACACATCACATCAGTTTGTAAGAAGCGGGTCTTCTGTGTTTTCAAGGCATTCTTACTGCTAACTCTTATATGCCACTATAGGGCTGGAAATGACTGTGTCTACATTCTCTAAAGAAAGGATTTCTGAAGAGCTGCAAACACACATCAGTTTACCTCTGGAAGTTGAATACATACATTGACAATAGTTCTGCTGGATAGATCCGTTTTGGTTTTGGAGCAAGGTATTATTCTTCACAGCCTGTTCTCCCATCCACTCTGTAATGTCCAAATGCAGCTTTTAGAAGAAACGTGTTCCTACCTCGCTAAATCTAAACATAGAAGTAAGTTCCTAAAAGGAACCAACACACAGCAGATGTGTTTATAAGAAGCGGGTCTTCTGGGTTTTAAAGGCATTCTTATTTCTTACTATTATAAGCGTCTCTACGGCTGGAAATGACTGTTTCTACATTCTCCAAAGAAACGGTTTCTGAACTGCTGCAAAAACTCATCAGTTTATCTCCGGACGTTGAATACACACATTGACAACCATTCTGCTAGATAGCTCCGTTTTGGTTTTAGAGCAAGGTATTTCTCTTTACAGCCTGATCTCCCATCCCCTCTGGAATGTCCAAACGCAGCTTTTAGAAGAAACGTGTTTCTAACTCACTGAATCTAAACATAGATTGCAACCTCCTAAAAGGAACCAAAACACAGCAGATCAGTTTATAAGAAGCGGGTCTTCTGTGTTTTAAAGGCATTCTTACTGCTAACTCTTTTTTGCCACTATAGGGCTGGAAATGACTGTTTCTACATTCTCTAAAGAAAGGGTTTCTGAACTGCTTCAGAAACACATCAGTTTAACTCTGTAAATTGAATGCACACACTGACAACCATTCTGCTAGATAGCTCCGCCTTTGTTTTAGAGCCAGATATTTCACATTAGAGCCTGAACTCCCTTTCACTCTGGAATGTCCAAACGCAGCTTTCGGAATAAACATGTTTCTAACTCGCTGAAACTAAACTTAGATGCAACTTTCTAAAAGGAACGAAGGCACAGCAGATCAGTTTGTAGGAAGCGGGTCTTCTGTGTTTTCAAGGCATTCTTACTGCTAACTCTTAAATGGCACTATAGGGCTGGGAATGACTGTTTCTACATTCTCCTAAAGAAAGGGTTCCTGAACTGCCTGCAAACACACATCAGTTTATCTCTTATAGGTTGAATATACAAATTGAAAAACAGTTCTGCTAGATATGCTTCATTTTTTGTTTTAGAGCCAGATATTTCACATTACAGCCTGAACTACGTTTCACTCTTGAATGTCCAAACGCAGCTTTTGGAATAAACCGTGTTTCTAACTCGCTGAAATCTAATCCATAGATGCTGACTTCCTAAAAGAAATCAACACACAGCAAATCAGTTTGTAAGAAGCTGGTCTTCTGTGTTTTCAATGCATTCTTATTGCTAACTCTTATATTACCACGATATAGGCTGGAAATGACTCGTTTCTACATTCTCTAAGGAAAGGGTTTCTAAATGCTGCAAACACACATCATGTTTAACTCTGTAAAGTTGAATGCACACACTGACAACCATTCTACTAGATAGCTCCCATTTTGTTTTAGAAGCGAGATATTACACATTACAGCCTGAACTCCCTTTCACTCTGTAATGTCCAAACGCAGCTTTTGGAAGAAACGTGTTTATTAACTCGCTGAATCTAAAGCATAGATGCAAGTTCCTAAAAGGAACCAACACACAGCAGATGCAGTTTGTAAGAAGCGGGTCTTCTGTGTTTTAAAGGCATTCTTACTGCTAACTCTTATATGCCACTTATAGGGCTGGAAATGACTGTTTCTACATTCTCCAAAGAAAGGTATTCTGAAGCTGCTGCAAACACACATCAGTTTAAGTCTTAAGTTGAATATACACATTGACAACCATTCTGCTAGATATCTACTTTTTTGTTTTAGAGCCAGATATTTCACATTACAGCCTGAACTACCTTTCACTCTGTAATGTCCAAATCGCAGCTTTTGGAAGAAATGTGTTTCTAACTCCTGAAACTAAACATAGATGCAACTTACTAAAGGGAACCAACACACAGCAGATCAGTTTGTAGGAAGCGGGTCTTCTGTGTTTTCAAGGCATTCTTACTACTAACTCTTATATGCCACTATAGGGCTGGAATGACTGTTTCTACATTCTCCAAGGAAAGGGTTTCTGAACTGCTGCAAGCACACATCAGTTTAACTCTGTAAGTTGAATGCACACACTTGACAAACATTCTGCTAGATAGCTCCACTTTTGTTTTAGAACCAGATATTTCACATTACATGCCTGAACTCACTTTCACTCTGGAATGCCCAAACGCAGCTTTTGGTAAGAAATTTATTAGTAACTCGCTGCGTCTAAACATAGTTACAACTTCCTACAAGGAAACAACACACAGCAGATCAGTTTTGTAAGAATCGGGTCTTCTTTGTTTTCAAGGCTTTCTTACTTCTAACTCTTATATGCCATTATCGGGCTGGAAATGACTTTTTCTACATTCTCCAAAGAAAGGGTTTCTGAACTGCTGCAAACACACATCAGTTTAGCTCTGTAGGTTGAATGCACCCTTTGACAACCATTCTGCTATATAGCTCCGTTTTTGTTTTAAAGCAAGTTTTTCACCTTGCAACCTGAACTCCCTTTCGCTCTGGAATGTCCTAAGGCAGCTTTTGGAAGAAACGTGTTTCTACCTCGCTGAATCTAAACACAGATGCAACTTCCTAAAAGGAACCAACACACAGCAGATGAGTTTGTAAGAAGCGGGTCTTCTGTGTTTTAAACGCATTCTTACTGCTAACACTTATATGTCACTATAACATTGGAAATGACTGTTTCTACGTTCTCCAATTAAAGGATTTCTGAAGTGCTACAAACACTCATCAGTTTACCTTTGTAAACTGAATACACTTATTGATAAACATTCTGCTAGATAGCTCCATTTTTGTTTTAGAGCTAGATATTTCACATTGCAGCCTGAACTCACTTTCACTCTTGAATGTCCAAACGCAGCTTTTGGAGGAAACGTGTTTCTAACTCGCTGAATCTAAACATAGTTGCAACTTCCTAAAAGGAAACAACACACAGCAGATCAGTTTGCAAGAAGCGGGTCTTTTGTGTTTTTTTTTTTTCACTAGAAGAGAAGGTTTAATAATTGATAAAAATATACAAAAATATTCAAATCAGAAATGCTTTAGAATGTGTACCACGAAGTCAATGCTTCTCAGTGAGTAGGGGAGGCAAAATATTTCCTCAATAGCAGGGGAAAAGAAGCCAGAGAAAGACTGAATTTAGAAAAAAAAGACAACTGTTAAAGAAAATGTTTAAGTCCATTTTTTTTTTTAAGACAGGGATATTGCAACTATCACTTAAAGTCTGGTGGCACATTCTTTAGTAGGTCCTTAAGGCAATATATTTAAATTATTTTACATTTTGATTTGATGTTAAAGTTTTTTTTTTAAACATCACCTCAAAATAGACTGCTCAAAATAATGCCCTCACAATAGCCTTTTTAAAATGTATTCAGATGTTTGATAAAAAATAATGGTGGCTTTATTATAGTAGTGCTCATTAGCACCACTATAATTAGGGGTCTACCAAGTTTCCAGCAAAAACACCTATTTCTTAGGAGTTTCACCATGAAAGATCACATTGGCTTTAATCAGTTGTGTAGTGCTCAAAAAAGCAGTTTTATCAGTTGCTGGTGCTTTTTTTGTACTAATGTATTATCAAAAAAATTTTCATTATATCTTCAAAATCCAGCTTCTATAAAGTAAAGTAAATCAAATCACCTCATGACTTAGATTTTAGAACAAAGTAGAGACATCTGCAGTTATCAGTAAATTGCCACCTTTAATCCATCCTACAGTGCCCTGTGAAAGGGTCACAGAAAGACAGTTATGACTGTATGAAAATATGATTCTTGATACAGAATCAAAGTTATTTTCAATTTCCTTTGCTTTTATAAAGTCCATGATAACAATACCTAAATGCACTTTTTTTCCTGTGATACAATTAAAACCCATTGTTATTTCAGTTGAACTTAAAATATAGTCCCTGGTCTGAATTAGACTTTAAATCATACTGTAAACATATATTTGGTATAATTTATTGATCATCATCCAGTTTCTCCAAAAGGGTTCTTCTGCACTTTTCCAATTCCCCTTCACTCAGTTCACTGCCAGAAAGTATCCCAATTACCAGAATCCTTTCCAGTCTTTTTCTTAGGCGATTTGTGTTTTGATTCTGATCTTTGTCTAGTTCTGTCTTTTTCACTTTCCCAATCTTTTTCTTTTTTATCCTTCTCTCGCTCAAGCATCGTATTCTGGAGAGTCAGATTTATGTCTCTTTTTCTTACTTTTCTTCTTATGCTTTTTTGACTTTTTATAACTTCTTTCAGACTCTGCACTAGAAGAATGTTCTGAAGCAGAATGAGACTCTGATCGTTGTCTTTTTTTCTTTGAATGGCTATCATCATCATCTGAATCTGACCCCGATCGAGAGCAGGAACGTTCCCTATGATGTTTTTTAGATTTCTTAGAATGTTTTTTGTTCTTTGAATGATGATGCTGACATTCATGCTCAAGCACATGCATAAAATCTTTAAATATTCGCTTTCTTTCAGATTCTAGAGTTATGTCCTCAAATGCTGGCTCTTTTACAAATCTCTCACGGATATCTTCCCAGACAGCATCCAATTCTATTGGAGGAGCAGCTTGTTTTAACATACTCTTAAATGCAGATTCTTTTCATTTCATCTTCCGAGCCTCCTCTTTTTCTCTTTCACGTTCACGGGCTTCTGCCTTTTCGAGTAAACTATTGAAAGCCAATTTGATATTTCCAGCATCTAATGTAGTTGATCTTTTAGTTGAACTAATTATTGCCACAAAATCTTCAAAAGTGGTATTTACTTCAACTACAAATCCTTTATCCTTTAGAATGTCTTTTATTATCTTCTTCTCATCATGATAACGTGCTTTAAGATCCTCAACATAAAACTTGAAAAGATCAAGTGCAGTTGATCCTAATGAAAAAACAGGCTGACCAAGCATATTAGTGATTCTAATGTCAGAACTAATAGTTGGATACAATTCCATCCAAGATGACATAGAATGTAGTTGTCCATGTTCATGTAATTCATCTAAAAATATCTGGAAGGATTCCCGATTTTTTCGCTGTCATCTCCTTTCTCTCAGCAAACTCTTCTGTTTTTCTTCTTCTTCTTCCTTTTCTAAAGCCCGAATGTGTTCTTCAAAGCAAATTAATGCATCTTCTTTGTCCATGTTTTGTAACTCCTCATCTTCTGCAAAAGTTGGATTATCCATCAGATACTGCTGGGCTTCAGACCAAGTGGTAGAGTATGTTACATTAGCCATGTTGTCAAGTATGTTTTTTAAGGCTTCCCAGTTTCTCTTTCGCAATTGCTTTGCTTGTTCCTTTTCCTTTTTTGAAAGAAAGAACAAAACATCTTCATAGATTTCAAGATGATCACGTTCTGATATTGCATTCCAAACTTCCATCTCTCCAAACATTTGCTCTGCTTTTTTTTATCTAGTTGTGGAAGTCATTTTCTCATGATTTTCAAGAAAACGCTGAAAGGACTCTTTAGCCTCTTTGTACTTTGATCTTGCTTCTTCTTTTTCTGTCTGGACTTTATAGGCATTAAAGGCTTGCTTTTTTTCACTTAACTTTGCCAAAGCACTGTACCGTGGATCATTAATAATCATTTTCATAGCTTGCTCCCATGAAGCATTCGATGGTACCCGCTTTTCTTTCAATAATTCTTTAAAGGCTTGCTTTGCCTCCTCCTTTGTATTCCAAGTATATGTTTTCTTTGCTGGTTGGCTCTCCTCCTCTTCTTTTTTGGGAGTAAAATCAGCTATAGTTTCTTGCTTCGATGTTTCTTCTCCAGTATTACTGGATACTTCCACACTTTGATCCTGAATAGCAGGGGTACTAGTAAGTTGTGCTTGTTCCTCAGTTGAAATAGTTACTGTATTCTCATTATCTACAACAGTAGCAACAATGGAAGTAACTTCTGGCTCAGGAACAACTGGAACAGTTCCACTGACAGTATTAGAAGTAGAAGTGGAAGCATTAGCATTGGCCGCAGCAGCAGCAGCTGCTGCTTCTGCAGCAGCCATGGTGCTCATTGTCGTTGGAATTTCTGTTGTAGGGACTGGGGCTGTTGACGTTGTCGTGCACTCTTCTTGTTTACTGCTTTCTTCAGCTTTGATCATTGCATGCAGGTTTGATTTTGTAATAAGACTTCCAGCAACAACGGTATTCTGGTATCCTTCGAGATCCTCAAGTTCTTTACGTTTGGCCCAGCAAAATTCTTCTGTTTGAGAATTGTAATAGTAAGGCTTTCCAGAATCTGATTTGTATTCCTTCTAGGGGCATTTAGATAAGAGTTGCTCAGCAGGTGTTTTAAGATCATCTGGTTTCTCCCAGGTAGACTGTTTGGTTTCAATGTTGTAGTAGTAAGTCCTTCCATCAGGTGATTTATGTTCGGTCCACATAGATTTTGCACCAGATGCTGTACCTGCTGCTACATCCATACTATTTACTCCTGGCGGTAAGGCAGGCTGCATGGAAGGTGGACACATATGAGACATCATCATTCCAGGCATTACTGATGACATCATTCCAGGCATCTTCTCCCTCAGAGATCTCTGTAAATTCTGGAGGTGAAAACTAGTTTATCCTGTTTTACCTGACAAACGAATCCGCAAGTCCTAAATCAAATACAGCCGAATATCCTTGATTGGCCCAATGGAAACAGAAGGCCCCAGAAAAGAGAGAAGCATCTGGCAGTAGCAAATTGTTTTATTTTATTTTTTGTCCCTTTGGTGGCCCTCCCACAGAGGGCATCATCTGAGGCATCATTCCCTGAGGGACAGGAGGCATATTTGCTCTCTGATTCATAGGGTGCATTCCCATCGGGGCATAATGCATGCCACGGCGCCCCATCATGAGGCCTCCACGCTCAGCTCCCGTCCCTGGCCTCATCGTCGGGCTCAGACTGCTCCGAGGACGGCCACTGCCGCTACCGGGTCTTCTGTGTTTTAAAGGCTTTCTTACTTCTAACTCTTATATGCCATTATAGGGCTAGAATTGACTGTTTCTACATTCTCCAAAGAAAGGGTTTCTGAACTGCTGCAAACACATATCAGTTTAACTCTGTACGTTGAATGCATACATTGACAACCATTCTGCTATATAGCTCCGTTTTTGTTTTAGAGCCAGATATTTCACATTGCAACCGGAACTCCCTTTCACTCTGGAATGTCCCAACGCAGCTTTTGGAAGAAACGTGTTTCTACCTCGCTGAATCTAAACACAGATGCAACTTCCTAAAAGGAACCAACACACATCACATCAGTTTGTAAGAAGCGGGTCTTCTGTGTTTTAAACGCATTCTTACTGCTAACACTTATATGCAACTATAGCGTTGGAAATGACTGATTCTACATTCTCCAATTAAAGTGTTTCTGAATTGCTGCAAACACACGTCAGTTTAACTCTCTAAACTGAATACACTCATTGACAAACATTCTGCTAGATTGCTCCATTTTTGTTTTAGAGCTAGATATTTCACATTGCAGCCTGAACTCACTTTCACTCTGGAATGTCCAAACGCAGCTTTTGGAAGAATCGTGTTTCTAACTCGCTGAATCTAAGCATAGTTGCAACTTCCTAAAAGGAAACAACACACAGCAGATCAGTTTGTAAGAAGCGGGTCTTCTGTGTTTTAAAGGCATTCTTATTGCTAACTCTTATATGCCACTATAGGGCTGGAAATGACTGTTTCTACATTCTCCAAAGAAAGGGTTTCTGAACTGCTGCAAACACACGTCAGTTTAACTGTGTAAGTTGAAAGGACACATTGACAACCATTCTGCTAGAAAGCTCCGTTTTTGTTTTAGAGCCAGATATTTCACATTGCAGCCTGAACTCACTTTCACTCTGGAATGCCCAAACGCAGCTTTTGGAAGAAACGTGTTAGTAACTCGCTGAATCTAAACATAGATGCAACTTCCTAAAATGAAACAAGACCCATCAGATCAGTTTGTAAGAACCGGGTCTTCTGTGTTTTAAAGGCGTTCTTACTGCTAACTCTTATAGGCCACTATACGGCTGGAAATGACTCTTTCTACATTCTCCAAAGAATGGGTTTCGGAACTGCTGCGAACACATGTCAGTTTAACTCTTTAAGTTGAATATACACATTGGCAACCATTCTGCTCGATATCGCCTTTTTTGTTTTAGAGCCAGATATTTCACATTACAGCCTGAAATCCCTTTCACTCTGGAAAGTCGAAACGCAGCTTTTGGAAGAAACGTGTTTCTAACTCACTGAAACTAAACATAGATGCAACTTCCTAAAAGGAACCAAACACAAAGCAGATCAGTTTGTAAGAAGCGGGTCTTCTGTGTTTTAAAGGCTTTCTTACCTCTAACTCTTATATGCCATTATACGGCTGAAAATGACTGTTTCTACATTCTCCAACGAAAGGGTATCTGAACTGCTGCAAACACACGTCAGTTAAACTCTGTAAGTTGAATGCACACATTGACAACCATTCTTCTAGAAAGCTCCATTTTTGTTTTAGAACCAGATCTTTCACATTGCAGCCTGAACTCACTTTCACTCTGGAATGCCCAAACGCAGCTTTTGGAAGAAACTGTGTTAGTAACTCGCTGAATCTAAACATAGATTCAACTTCCTAAAACTGAAACGAGACACAGCAGATCAGTTTGTAAGAAGCGCGTCTTCTGTGCTTTAAAGGCTTTCTTACTTCTAACTCTTATATGCCATTATAGGGCTAGAATGGACTGTTTCTACATCCTCCAAAGAAAGGGTTTCTGAACTGCTGCAAACACACATCAGTTTAACACTGTACGTTGAATGCACACATTGACAACCATTCTGCTATATAGCTCCGTTTTTGTTTTAGAGCCAGATATTTCACATTGCAACCTGAACTCCCTTTCACTCTGGAATGTCCAAACGCAGCTTTTGGAAGAAACGTGTTTCTAACTCGCTGAATCTAAACACAGATGCAACTGCCTAAAAAGAAACAACACACATGACATCAGTTTCTAGGAAGAGGGTCTTCTGTATTTTAAAGGCATTCTTACTTCTAACTCTTATATTCCACTATAGGGCGGGAAATGACTGTTTCTACATTTTCCAAAGAATAGGTTTCGGAACTGCTGCAAACACACATCAGATTAACCCTTTAAGTTGAAAATACACATTGACAAGCATTCTGCTAGATATCTCCATTTTTGTTTTAGAGCCAGATATTTCACATTGCAGCCTGAACTACCTTTTCACTCTGGAATATTCAAACGCAGCGCTTGGAAGAAACCGTGTTTCTAACTCACTTGAAACTAAACATAGATGCAACTTCCTAAGAGGAACCAACACATATCACATCAGTTTGTTAGAAGCGGGTCTTCTGGGTTTTAAAGGCATTCTGACTGCTAACTCTTATATGCCACTATAGCGTTGGAAATGACTGATTCTACATTCTCCAATTAAAGTGCTTCTGAGTTGCTGCAAACACAAGTCAGTTTAACTCTGTAAACTGAATACACTCATTGACAAACATTCTGCTAGATTGCTCCATTTTTGTTTAAGAGCTAGATATTTCACACTGCAGCCTGAACTCACTTTCACTCTGGAATGTCCAAACGCAGCTTTTGGAAGAAACGTGTTTCTAACTCGCTGAAACTAAACATAGATGCAACTTCCTAAAAGGAACCAACACACTGCAGATCAGTTTGTAAGAAGCAGGTCTTCTGTGTTTTAAAGGCATTCTTACTGCTAACTCTTATATGCCACTAGAGGGATGGAAATGACTGTTTTTACATTCTCCAAAGAAAGGGTTTCTGAACTGCTGCAAACACACTTCAGTTTAACTCTGTAAGTTGAATGCACACACTGACAACCATTCTGCTAGATATCTCCGCTTTTGTTTTAGAGCCAGATATTTCACATTAGAGCCTGAACTCCCTTTCACTCTGGAATGTCCAAACGCAGCTTTTGGAAGAAACGTGTTTCTAACTCGCTGAACCTAAACATAGTTGCAACTTCCTAAAAGGAAAAAACACACAGCAGATCAGTTTGTAAGAAGCGGGTCTTCTGTGTTTTAAAGGTATTCTACCTCTAACTCTTAAATGCCATTATAGGGCTGGAAATGACTGTTTCTACATTCTCTAAAGAAAGGGTTTCTGAACTACTTCAAACACACATCATTTTAACTCTGTAAATTGAATGCACACACTGACAACCATTCTGCTAGATAGCTCCGCCTTTGTTTTAGAGCCAGATATTTCACATTACAGCCTGAACTCCCTTTCACTCTGGGATGTCCAAACGCAGCTTTTGGAAGAAAGGTGTTTCTAACTCGCTGAATCTAAACATAGTTGCAACTTCCTAAAAGGAAACAACACACAACATATCAGTTTGTAAGAAGCGGGTCTTCTGCCTTTTAAAGGCTTTCTTACTTCTAATTCTTATATGCCGTTATAGGGCTGGAAATGACTGTTTCTACATTCTCCAAAGAAAGGGTTTCTGAACTTCTGCGAATACACATTAGTTTCACTCTGTAAAGTGAATACATTCATTGACAAACATTCTGCTAGAGGGCTCCATTTTTGTTTTAGAGCTAGATAGTTCACATTGCAGCCTGAACTCCCTTTCACTCTGGAATGTCCAAACACGGCTTTTGGAAGAAACGTGTTTCTAACTCGCTGAAACTAAACATAGATAGCAACTTCCTAAAAGGAATCAACACACAGCAGATCAGTTTGTAGGAAGCGGGCCTTCTGTGTTTTCAAGGCATTCTTACTGCTAACTCTTATATGCCACTATAGGGCTCGAAATGACTGTTTCTATATTCTTTTAAAAAGGGTTTCTGATCTGTTGCAAAGACACCTCAGTTTAACTCTGTAACTTGAATGCACACATTGACAACCATTCTGCTAGAGAGCTCCATTTTTGCTTTGGAGCCAGATATTTCACATTACAGCCTAAACTCCCTTTCACTCTAAAATGCCCAAACACAGCTTTTGGAAGAAACTTGTTAGTAACTCGCTGAATCTAAACATAGATGCAACTTCCTAAAAGGAACCAACACACAGCAGATCAGTTTGTAAGAAGCAGGTCTTCTGTGATTTCAAGGCATTCTTACTACTAACTCTAATGTGCCACCAAAGGGCTGGAAAAGACTGTTTCTAAATTCTCTAAAGAAAGGGTTTCTGAACTGCTACAAAAACATATCAGTTTAACTCGGTAAATTGAATGCACACACTGATAACCATTCTGCTAGATAGCTCCGCTTTTATTTTAGAGCCAGATATTTCACATTACAGCCTGAACTCCCTTTCAGTCTGGAATCTCCAAACGCCGCTTTTGGAAGAAACGTGTTTCTACCTCGCTAAATCTAAAAATAGTTGCAACTTCCTAAAAGGAACCAACACACAGCAGATCAGTTTGTAAGAAGCGGGTCTTCTGTGTTATAAAGGCATTCTTACTGCTAACTCTTATATGCCACTATAGAGCTGCAAATGACTGTTTCTACATTCGCCAAAGAATGGGTTTTGGAACTGCTGCTAACACACGTCAGTTTAAATCTTTAAGTTGAATATACACATTGACAACCATTCTGCAAGATATCTGCTTTTTTGTTTTAGAGCCAGATATTTCACGTTACAGCCTGAACTCCCTTTCACTCTGGAAAGTCCAAACGCAGCTTTTAGAAGAAAAGTGTTTCTAACTTGCTGAAACTAAACATAGATGCAACTTCCTAAAAGGAACCAACACACAGCAGATCAGTTTGTAAGAAGCGGGTCTTCTGTGTTTTCAAGGCATTCTTACTGCTAACTCTTTTATGCCACTATAGGGCTGGAAATGACTGTTTCTAAATTCTCTAAAGAAGGGGTTTCTGAACTGCTTCAAACACACATCATTTTAACTCTGTAAATTGAATGCACACACTGACAACCATTCTGCTACATAGCTCCGCCTTTGT